ACTGAAACTCACTTTTGTTTACAAACAGTGAATACTGTCAACACATGTCATGTATTGTCGAGTCATTCATAAACAACATTACCATTGATTAAGGGTTTAGATTCTGAAGAATATTCTGTATTATTTGTTCACTAAATGTCAAATAAAACTTTATTTTAATTTGCATTAAATGTTAATTATTTTAATTGAAAACTTTTAGATAAAAGAAGCTGTTTTAATAAATTCATAAAATAAGTGAAACTAATAAAAATAAAATGAGACCACTTTTATTGGTGTTTATCAGAGGAATAGCTTAAACTCATTTAATTATAAATTAAAAGTATTTTTATATTAACTTTTTATATTTTTTATATTTTAAAATTTTTATATATGTTATATACAATTAGATTACAAATTAATGCTACAATTCTATGAAAACTGATGTAATAATTGTTGGCAAACAAATAAACAGCACATTATTCTCTATGCAAACAATTCTTGAGTTGTACTTTGATAACTATAAAGCACTTTCACATTGAAAGCCATACAAAATATATTTCAATAGTGTATTTCACTTTTCAACCACTATAAGAATTGCAAAAAATGTCAAAATTTTACTTTGCTAAAACTTTACTAATTTGACACCAAATAAACTGTTGTCTAAAACTCGAAAAAACTGTTTTTAAGATATAATAAGAATGTTATAATCAGAGTCTAGAATGGCTTATACATGGAGTGAATACAAGTTCCTTATAATCAACATTTCATTATAATCCCCACTTTTCGAAAATTTCATGTGTATATTATATCCAATTTGGACTATTTGTCCAGTCTCTGCCCATAAGCCTAACGTTATATAAAGTATTAAAGCCTAACTTTAATTCCCAATGTTTTTATTCATTTTATTGATTCATTAATTTTGTTCGGGAGTTCACGACAAATAGAGGCTTTACAAATAACTATGCACATTCTACTGATAATTGAACTTGTTGTTACCAGTCTTACTCTAGTTAAACAGTCCAATTGTGTAAATTATGACTTGGTTATTATAATTTTCGTTCGAGTCGTGTATTTTATAACAAGTTTTTGTTCGGAAAAACAATGAATTTCGCATCTTTGATACAGTATATGATTAGACAAATGCAATATTCCTAACAATTAGTGTAAAGTCAATGACCAGTGATGGCGGACACGACAGTGACGGAAGATGTGGCACAGGTTTTGGGTATCACATCGTCTTATCCGTCATCACTGGTCACAGACTTTACATTAATTGGTATTTAAAAACTTGTTGACCTTTTAATTCAAATTAACTTTATTTGAAAGCATTTAATTTATATATCTATGATATTTGATCATAAAATAATATATCTTTATTTACGAATGTAAATGTTATAATTACTAAAAACTAAAAGCTTTGGTTAAATGAGTAAAAATGGATTAATAAATATATATTAAAATGTAATATCGTTTTGAAACATTTTGATGAGAAGCAAATCCACACTTTTCTTCTCTTTAATAATAATCCTTAGATCGGAATAATTGAAAGAAAGACAACAATCAGACAATTCTTGTTGCGTTTGTGAACCACTTGTGCCAATGAAGTCGTGGTCAGCGTCTATCATATCATTGAGATTATTGTATTCCGTATTCATAATTACTGGTTGTTGTGCTTTATTCAGACAATTCACTCCCAACTGCTCTAATCTCATCTGAAATGTAGTTTTCTTCAGTTTATTGTCCGTCAAATCGATGTACTCTAAGATAAACGCCTCCAAAACAAAAGCCGTGAATATATTGAGCACAAGAATCACACAAATCAAGTGAAATGAGACGAAATAAAGTCTCGTTAACTTTGTCTGTGCGGCCAACTCTTGAGTTTTGGCCAAAACGTGCCATTGATTGACAACCATTAGATCAAACAGAAATAGCATAGCGTTTGGGAATGTATTGAAATTAATTGTGCAATAATTAGCTGTCGTTTCTCCCATTGGAGAGCAATGACTAAAATTGTTTTTTGTATCGTTTGTTAGGCGAGAGAATAATCGCATTCCTATTAATGAATAACTATAATAAACGACAAACAGAAGGCCTATATATGTGGATATGGACGGAATTATGGTTAATATTGTTTTAACTATCATTTTAAATCGTTTTATAGTAGAGATTATTTTGCACAGACGTAACACTCGAAGTATTAATAATAAATCCAAGTATTGCTCCAATTCTTGATTCATATTATTCTTGAATCCAATGACTAAACTCAATATAATAGCCATTCCTATGACTATTGAGTCAAAGATATTCCAAAACTTTTGTGCAAATAAAACAAATCCAAAGGTATATAGTTTTGCCAGTATTTCGATAGTGAATAACAATAATAGAGTCCATTCAAGATAAGTGTAATCAAAATTAATAGCAATCAGTAAAGTATTGAGAAAAATAAGTGAATCAAAGAAATTTCGAAAATATTTTGATTTGACTGAATATCTAAAAAGTGTTGAAACTCTGCTTCGATAGAAATTTTTGAAAATGGTCTCAAAAATTGTAATGTTTTGTGTGTTTGATATAACAGTGATCTCATAATTAAGTAAATCCGATATTTGACAAAAGTTTTCTTTGGGTATTAATTGATTGGTTTCGAGTAATGACCAGTAAATTGCAATCAAAGCTGAACGATGTGTGGGTTCACAGCCGTTCACATCCAATACAATTTGCATCAATTCATTAAATTCTTTGCCATTAATACCGTATGTCTTCTCATCGGTCTTGACGGAGGATTCGCTCTCTTTGTAAATCAAGTCAAATGCTCTCAAAATGTTTTCTCGTTTTAGTTGCAATAAATTCTTTACTTCACTCTAATATTATATAATAATTACAATTATTATTTTATGAATAATATAATTAATCAAAATTAATGTTACTTTTAAGTGCTTTTTGTAATTGTTGTAAATGACGGCCAGAATAATATTCATAAATAGGTAGACATTTATAATAAGAAAAGTTACAAAATAAATGGCAAACCAACCATTTTTGTTGTACGAAGGCATCCTATTCATAATACATAGATAATTACTCATTATATTCATAATATTTATATTTATTTAACTTACATTAAGTCAGGATTGTTAGCAGTGGTCACTAAACAATGAGATAATACAAAAAATAACTTACAATTTACTATTTTGTCTAAATGTATACCTAAAACATATAAATTGAAGATAACGTCAATAAAATTTCCAAAATATTTTTTATCGGAGAAGTCATTAGAACTAATGAATTGCTTTTCAAATAGTTTTAATCCAATGATTGAAAACGTGAGGAGAGATAAGAAGAATAAGACCAATACATTGAGAACATCGGGTAAAGTGTTTCGGATGTTTCTGAATGTTCTGCGGATCTGTTTATATGAAGACATATTATTAGTATTTATTAAAAGTAAAAATATTTATTAGTATTTATCAAATTTTTAAACCTCTTTGTTTTCGGCGAAGTTTATTATAAATAAAGGTCTCAATACAGGAGTCCATCGGATATAATGATTGACTGAATAACTGATGAATATATCACAAAAAGTGATGATAATTGTGGCGACGACTATAATATTCTTCTTGTCGGACCAAAACACCGACGAAGAGATCAATAAATATAAATGACTCAAACGTATTGTATATATTATAAGACATATTATCTCTAAACTATTGATCCAAATATGGTTTTTATGATCAGAAGTGGTCTCAAAGAGAACTAATAAGTGATGTAAAGCTATGGTTAAGTAAAACAAAAATCGACAAAACGAGTGTCGATACAGAAAATATAATTTCACACGATTTGTGTCCAACGCTTGTAATGATTGTGAGAGAAGCACCAGACCGTCGTTGGCGTCCACTATGAGTGCGGCCGACATTAACATCTCGTTGCCTTCCGATCGCCGCTCTATCACACCATTGCTAGTGCTGTCCGGCATATCATTCACAATAACCGACTCGTCTCTACTTTCAGCCATTTATTAATTCAAACAAAATATATAAATAAAAATAGTGATCAAAAGTTTTCACTCAAAACGATAGCTATTGAATAATATTAAAGTCTACTATAACTCCCACTTTCAGGTCAAACGGGTTCACAATTCACTAAAAAACTTCTTACATATTATTTTCAGTCATTGCTATGAGTAGTGAATGCATTGAATGAAAGCATAGTTTGGTTAAAAACTAGTCGAACCACTATTTTTAATAGTTTCAAACTTTTAATCTATTTATTAGTATTGTTTCGTAGTTTTTGAATATAAAAAACTATACTGTACCTTATTGAGTTTTCTATTATATTAATGCAGTCATTCGTTTAATATTATACTGATTTATAAACATCGCGTATTTAATACTCCGTATTATATAGTTTTATGAATAATGATCATAAATATCATATATATTACGATAGTTAACCAAATTTTAAAAATTGTTCATAAGTTATGATTTAATGTTTTATATCATTAAAAGATTTTTATAAAAATGAATTGAATAACCAATAGCTTAATAATTGTTTTAAAATTAAAAAATATATTTATTCCTCATTACAAAAATGTTTATAATATTCAAAAACAATAGTTTAAATGTTAGAAAATACAAAACATTAATTTGCATTTAACTAGAATTAGAATCAACAGAGAGAGCACCAAAAAAGTCGGATTTGTTAACATTTTTGTGTTTTTTGTCCAATTCTTTGTAATTAAATATTTTCAAATGATTATCATTTGTGGCAACAATTTGTTTAGATATTTGGTTGACATCAAGGCTTTCAATACCGGAGACACAATCATCGATGGTTGCGATCACTTTGTTTGGCTGAACACTCACTGCGCGAAGTTTGCCATCAGAGGATCCGACAACAATTGTCTCGTCATTAATGAGTTCAATGCCATCAATACTACACATTCCCTGACCTCTTGTGGTGTTACCCCGGATGGGAAACCTATCGCTAATATTTCCCCATTGGTTAACATTGAATATATTGAGCGCTCCGTCTTCGGCGCCGACCACTACTTTGCCTTTGCTTTCCATATACCGAATGGACTGAAAGCCTGCGTCAAAGAGTTCGGACTGTAGTTCCATGCGTTTGGCCCTAACGTTGAACGCGGAGAGAGTGCCGTCTCCAGAAGTGGCCACAACCATACGCTTAGACTCATCGATGTCTAAATCACTAATATATTCATCGCATTCTTTCACTTCCATATAAACGCCGCGATCTATACGATAGTCGAAACCCTTGAAGACTCCGGTGTCGTCACCGATGCATAACAGATAGTTGTCCACAATTAGCAGCGAATATATCTTTTGTCCGCAATTATCTATTTTTCTGACCACTTGTCCGGTATTTAAATCCAATAGTTTCACACTTTTAGCGGCGCTCACCAGAAACTGGTCGCTCGCGAACCGCACTTTTCTTATGGGACTTCCCTTATGGTGTTTCTTCAGATCCATTACCACGTTGTTTGTCCCGCCATTCATATCGATTCTTGGGATCAAACAATGATAAGTAAATTAAATGTCAAGTAAGTGTCAAATCCAAGCTTACAATTGGATGCGACCCTCGATTGTGCTGAAGGCCAGGATGTTATGTCTTGTCGGATGAAATTGAGTGTCATATATCATATCGCATTCCTCGACAGTCACCTCTTTGGCCAAATCAAAACTAAATGCCATTTCTGTGTTCAATGTCTTCAGTTGTCCTCAAAAGTGAGCAATACTTACGTTAAGAAAACAATACTTTTCAATGTTTTGAACACATGTTATGAGCCATACGTTTATCACGTGATCTGAAAACGAGTCAAATGTAAACGCAATCCATTTGTTGATCACATTTGAGACCAATTTGTTGTCCAAATTTGATCGCTTGAGTGAGTGGTGTCTGAAGTGATTGAGACAATGCCTCTGATAGTGATGTGCGGAATACCAATGAGTGGTAAAACACATGCAACCAATCGATTGATACACTATTTTGAAGACAAACACCAATTGAAGGCAATTGTGATCCGTTTTGACACCAACTCTGTGGACACCAAACCCGATGTCTTGTACACCGACTCCAAGACTGAGAGACAGATGAGGGGTTGGCTTAAGTCGGAGGCGGAGAGGCATCTGATTGGTGACAATTTGGTGATATTGGACGCAAACAATTACATCAAAGGCTTTCGGTATGAATTGTACTGCACTTCCAAAGAGCGGAAGACAACTCATTGTGTGGTAGAAGTGGTCACTAATGAAGACACGGCGTGGAAGAGAGCCGATTCAACCCAAGACACCGACACTTATGACAAACAAACTTTTGACGCTTTAGTGCAACGCTATGAACGGCCGCAACCGACCAATCGCTGGGATTCACCACATTTTGTCATCGATGGCGCTTCAGATGACATACCTTTTGATGACATAATGGCAGCGCTTTATCAACGAAAAGCTCCGAAACCTAATTTGTCGACACAATCGCCGGCTTTGAGTTCTACTAATTGTTTGTATGAATTGGACTCAAAGACACAGCAAGTGGTCAGAGATGTCCACAACTGTATACAAAGCGGACAATTGAAGAATATTGTGATTCCGGACTCAAGACAAGCATTAAATTTGAATAAAAGTCTTTCTGTGGCCGAACTCAACAAAATGAGGCGTCTATTCATTAATTATAGTAAAACTCATCCAATTTGTGACAATCAATTGATTTCCACTCTTTTCGTTCAATTCATTAATAAAAGCGTTTAAAACATTACTTTTATATATATTTTATTCGTATATTTTTATATAATTTACTTTATAAATGATTTCGAGTTTTTAACATTTAAATGATTTTTTATAGAAAATTATTTGTAATTTAATGATTGAAACAATTGAAGGGAAAATATAATCATCTCTTTTAAACATCTTTAATGGGCTCTTCGTTTTCGGTCAACCGGTCGATGGAATCGACAAAAGTATCCCATTGTTGAGCATTGGATTCGAGTTCAGCTATGGTTGTGGTCAGCTCTGAAAGGTCTCCCATAGAGTCGGCACAACTGCCGGTGAATGTGGGCGACGGGCCGTTGAAGAAGGAGCCCAACTCGTGGTCCTCTTCGCAAGCGAACGGCGCCTTTAGTTCCACGAAAACAAACGAATCGCCGGACGAGGAATAGATGGGCGAAGAAGTAATGCTGTTCTCGACCACACTCTTGGTTGGTATGACTATTGGATCAGATTTTTGTGGCGGTTTTAGTGATGATATCCTTTTCATGCTGTCGATTGTGTCCTCATTTGGTAAGAGACTACTGAATGGCGGCTCAGGGATGAGTATCAGGTGATCCGCATCTAAAATAAGCATTCATTAAAATTATGTAAAAATGATTAATTTATTAAACAATACTGTTATCTGTTTGGACAGCAAACGCAGCCACCAATGGTTTGGATGGATCCCTCTCTTCAATTGTCTTAAGTCTCTCCTCTTTCTTGAAGTGATCGTTCTTTAGAGGAAGCAATTGAGGACTTTTGGGAATTGGCGTCACATTTGTGGTGATGTTTTCGTTAAATGTCTTCGAATCGATTGTCAAATCAGTTCGATATATGAATGAAACAAAGAGTTCGTTGGAATCACTTCTAATAGATCCCAAATGTTTGGTTGACGAGAAGTGTTGGGCCTCTTCCTCGGAGTTGAAGACATTGGTGTCTGAATCGCATCGATAGACCCGATAGCAGATAACGAATGAGTCGGGACTTTGACCCCTTTGGCTGAGTTTGTAAGCGGGTGTGGCTCTGGTCACAGAAATCAAGGACTTCAACATAAGACTCATCTTCTTATACACATTGGAGATAAGTGTGGGAGAGTTGGCCGACACCTGAGATGTGGGCGAATGAGCCTCACTGTTGTCTCTGTCGTTGGTCTCGTTGGACACAAACCAGTACTCGAGTGTCATTGAATTGCCGTCCATTGTCTTCAGCGATATCTCGCAGCATATCTTCCAATCGTTTTTAATAGTAATCAAAGAGTTGTTCACTTGCTTTTGGTTGCCATCCAAATGACATCCAATCGATTCCAAGCACTTCTTCGTCTGTTCGTTGATGTCTTTGATGTCATTAATGGCTAAATTGAACCAATCATTGCCCCTATTGTTGGACTCGGTTTTGATCCGTTGGGAACCAAGTCTTGACTGAACGATCACTTGAACACACTTTAAGACAAAATGTCGTACAAATCGCTCCAACTCTTTGACAGACATTGTTTGCTGTGTCTGTAATTCGAGACAATCGGTGGTTAAAGCATTCAAAGCCAGACAATCGGCCCTCAAGTGGTCACTCAATCACAACAACGACAATACAAATGATTGCAAACAACTAATTGAAAGTCTATTCATACAAATCATACAAATATTTGCATTAATTGCCAAACAATGCATTAATTAACCGATTATTACATTATTTGAGACTTCAATCAAAACAAATCAGTCATATGTTTACACATCACAGAAGACATTAAACATTACATTAAACACCACTCAAGCACTCACTCCCGACCCCAACACCCGACCCGACCCTAACATACACCTGAGTATATCACTCATACTTTACACCAATTCATCACAATATCTATACATATATTATCATCATTTAGTCATATCATTGTTTTAATTATTAGCAATACATTTGCATCTTATTATTTATTAAGTTATTAATTAATTATAATAATGAAATGATAGCCAATAAATACCGACCCGTTGTGAGGGAAGTGATTAACTCTAGTGTTTGAGACGTAAAGTCATGCGCTTTTCAGTGATTTGTATTTTTATTGCAAAAAAAATGTTTATTTGGTTTAAAATGTAATCAAATATTTATTAAATATTTATAATCAATCTTACGATACAATCGTTGGATTGTTTCTACCATTCAATACAACATTTGATAATTGATGTGAGAAATAGTGGCGAAACAGATGTGGAAGAAGTGGTTAGTGTGGCCGCGGAGGACAGCCTACCGGTCGCTCAACGACAACATAGCGGACAACTCGATAACAGTTCCGTTCGGTTCTTTGGCTGTGATGGCAGTGACGCTACCGTTGGTGGCAATGATTGTGTGCATAATGTGGTCATTGGTGTACGAGTTTGAGTCGTCGACATCGACTCACTGTGGGGTCAATAACTACTTGCCGTCCGTGAGTGCAGCGATCGGTGCGTTCGCCCCCCAGAAGTACATCTGGCGATTGGCCATCGGTTTGCACTCATTTCCCCGTTATATCATTGCTTACGTCTATTACAACAGATATGACTCGAAGCTAGTCTTCGGCCTCAATGTGGTTGAGATCACTGCCCTCTTAGGGCTCACTTACGTCTCGTCCACCGAAAACTTTCGTAAGTGTTGTCCAAACAAAACAAAACTATTTTCATTGCAATTACTTTACTTTGCATTTCATTAACCGATGGTTTTTCGCCGCGATTTATATATTTTATTGATTTTTTATTTGAATAGCATTTCACTCGAAATGTTTTCAACTCTTTCTGATGACAGCATTTGTGGGAATGGTTTTGCATTTAATCAAATATAGAGAAACCAAATTCAAACGCCTGATGGCAGTGACCAACATCTCCGCCGGTTGTTTAGCCGTATATTTCTATTTAAGACATAATAACTACTGCGAGACCGGAGTCTACACATTGTTTGCCTTTTGCGAGTATTTAGTCGTTTTAAGCAATTGTTTATTTCATTTTCAGTCCTTTTATGATTTCAATCAAACTATTTTCGCCATAACTGACCGCAGATATCACTCAATCAATTATTCCGCTTAACACTCAGAACCGCTAACTATTGTTACAGTTATAGCTTTTATACAGTATATCCGTATTTATATATTTATTTGTTATATATAATTGTTATAATGTTTTTAATTAAAATTTTTAATATTTACCAAACAATTTAGAAGAAATGGAATAATTAATTAATATTTTTATCAATTTATTAAAGAATTTATTAAAATTTAAAACTGTCGTTATTTTATTACTAACAAAACTGTTTGAACCAAATATTACATCAAAGATCAGAGGTATCATTGATTAGGTTAGAAATGAGGAGAAAGTGTATCCACAGAACAGTATATACCGTTTGAACGATAAAATGCAAACATTTGCAGATATCGTAGGCATAAGTCTATGCAGTCAAACACCAATCGTATGCATTCCTGAACATCTTAGCCCAAGGACTCACTTTTAGCGTGGATTTCCATTTACTGGGAATGTAAGGCCACTGCCAGAGGAAAGTACATCTCTCCGGATGGGGCATAAGTGCTGTCCAATCATCAAAATAATGTCATTTATTCAAAATCATAGTTTATAAGTGCTATTCAAACCTAAGTGTCTGCCATCGAAACTACTGATTCCAGCGATTCCTAAAGCACTTCCATTCGGATTCATTGGATATCTAAAGAATTAAATTCCGTATTTTAAAAAAGGATTCCCTCATTATTTGTAATCTAAATACTCTTCAGTCCACTTGTTGTTGTCGTCGACATAACGCAAAGCAATGCAATTATTGGCTTCAATAGCTTTAAGAACGCTATCGTTAATGTAAGTGAACTTCCCTTCACCGCTGGACACCCAAACCCCCATCACTGATGTTTGCATTTCTTTAAACATAATGGCATTTGTCTTATCCTCGATTCGCACCGAAACGAAACGGCTCTCAAATCTTTCGGATTTATTGTGAGTTAAAAGGGTTTCTTGTTTTCCTAAATACATAATACAAATATTGAGTCTTATGTTCAGTGAATGTGTGTTTGTTTGCCATTCATATGACACTAACCCTCAGTCTGTGAGCCGACCAAACCTAACAAAGCCATCAATTGACAGCCATTGCATACTCCGAGCGAAAAAGTGTCATTTCTCGATATAAACCGTTTGAGTTGCACTTCAATCGTGTCGTTAAACTTCATGGTCGCCGCCCAACCCCTGGCGCTGCCCAATACGTCGGCGTAAGAGAAACCTCCCGGGAATATAAGGCCTCGGAATGCGTCCAGAGTTAGGAGTCGTTTGTTTAAGATGTCAGTAATGGTGACGTCCGCCACTTCAAAGCCAGCCATATATAGACTGGCAATCATTTCTCGGTCACCATTAATGCCCTCTTCTCTAATAACTGCTACTCTCGGAGCGCTCTTGAAGTGATTGTCAATATCTGTTTATTAATGAAATTGTGGTCTAATATCGTAACCGAACAAACAGTGAGATGAGTGTCAAACGACTTACTGATATTGATTAAGTTGGGATCATAAGTGAGCGTCCATTTCGGTGCTCTCCTATGTTTCAGTCCATTCCTCTCCTCTTCGACACACTTTTTGTTTGTTTGAAACTTTTCCAATTCAAAGCTCGTTTCTTCCCATTTGTCTCGCAATTCACTCATTTTGGCCTAAAATCCAAATATTAAATACGTTTAGCGTTTTATTGGTTTTTATGTTTATATTTACTTTGAGAACAGTTTTATTATTAATATTAATAATAACTAAGTCTTGATTATCAAGAGCTCTGCCAATAACTTGTGGCTCGAGTTCAATGCGTTTGAAGTCTTGTAATACTTTAGGCAAATATGAATCGAGAACTTCAATGACAAGACCACACTCTTCGGCAAACAGTAACTCAATGTCTGTATTATTTGCGGACTTAATGTTTGCCTCTAAACCACAATTGGAGGCAAAAGCCATTTCTAACAAACAGGTAATGAGTCCGCCGTCGCTTATATCGTGACCGGCGCTACAAATTCCCGTTTTTATCAATTCTTGCACTAAATTAAAGCAATTTTTCAACAAAAGGGGTTTATCCAAATCAGGCGATTCGTCACCGATTTGACCGAATACTTGTGCCAAAGCTGATCCCCCGACCCGTAACTTATTACTGCCGCTTAAATTAATATATAGCAGTTGAGTGCCATTGATCCTGAGCTCAGGCGTTACTTTAACCCTAATATCAGGCACCGGGGCGTAAGCGCTGACCACTAAAGTTCCGGGAGATTTGACCACTTCGTGACCATTGGCTACTTTAATCTTTGCTGCCATTGAAAGCGAATCTTTTCCGCCATCGATAGCAATGTTGAGTTGATTCATGACTTCACACATAGCCAGACAGGTCTCCACAAGTTTGGCTCCTTCTCCTGATAACCACATAATCACAACATATTATTGTCATTAGAATCGCATAACATAACAGGGATTGAATGGAGAATACCCTCGAGCTTTGCGGCCCACATCCAATTGCCAGAGCACTTGACGTCTGCCAAATCAGTGATTACACAAAACATCATATTAGTCAACGCCTCGGCCACTGATAGTCTTCCGTTCGCTTCGGGAGAAATGAGTCCTTTGATGGGCTGTTCGCCAATAGAAGTGACACTTCCTCTGAAGTTGAAATAATTGAGAGCAATCACCGCATAATCAGCTAATGGTGTGTGAAGTGGACCAATACATTGCTGTTGAGCCACAAGACCTGTTGTTCATTAATATTATTGAATCACAATTTTATCGTATATTCAATTGACAATTCAAATACCGGTTACACTTCTGTCCACTTTATTTGTCAAATATCTTTTAGAGGCGACTGAAGGCAACCGAAGGACACGATTTAGAGCATCAATTAATCTGAGATTTTCGGGAAGTTTCAATGGTCTTAATATGGGATTCGTTTTCTTGAGATCAAATGTTTTGCGAGGCATTGATCCCAAGACATGCTCTAGGTCCAATTGGACCGCGTGCTTCCCGCCATCATTATCCTCGATAAGAGTGATGTGTCCGTCACCAGTGATTTGTCCCACAAAATCAATTTTGCATTTTTCTCGTTCACTAATCTTTTGAAGCAAATCGTGATCTTCGGGTTTAACGAGTATTGCATTACTTTCTTGATATTCCGCTCCCCATAACTCCAATACATTAATGGTGGGATCGGCTAAAGTGAACTTGTTCACGTATATCTTTGCCCCCAATGGATCCACTATCTCTTTTAGAACATTACCGTTACCGCCGGCCCCCTGATCATGGATTGATTGGATCGGATTGTGTCCTAAATTCATTATGCAATTTATTATTTTAATATAATTATTGTCAATTACCTGAATATTCAATACAGGCTCTAATGACTCGATTCAGTTTTTGCTCCATTTCTGCGTCTCCTCTCTGAACGGCACCGAAATCTAAGTCTTGATTCTTTTCGCTCCCTTTTTAACAAATTATATTTTTTAAAACAATTATAAAACAAATGTTTTAAATTGTATTTAAAAATCATTCAAACCTTGAACTTCTGTAGAACTGGCGGCACCGCCTCCCACTCCGATCCTAAATTATGAATAATTTTTATAACAATATTATTCATTGGATTCATACCTATAGACAGGTCCACCAACTTTTGCCACAGACATCCCTATTTGCGGATCGTGTTTCGTAACAAAATCGCCTTCAATAGTACCGATTCCTCCGCTAAACATAATTGGTTTAATCCATTCATATCTCTCATCTGATTAGAAGAAAACCAATTTTATAGTTAACTTTGATTACAATTCACTTTAAGTCGAAACTAACTGCTCGGTAATCGTTGTCCGAAACTTCGTGCAAATCCGGCCAATACTGGTTCACCGAATTTGTTGCCATAATCTGAGGCCCCATTACTGGCCTCAATGCACACCTGTAATGGAGCGGCAAAATTGTTGGGATAGACCTCTTGCTTGTCCTCCCACTCCAAGTCATAGTCAGGAATATTTAGATTACCGAAAGAATATCCGGCCGTAGCGGCGATCACATGCGCCCCACGACCCGCCGCCTGAACATCCCTAATACGACCGCCGGTTCCTAATTATTTCCACACAAAAAAATGCCATCAATTCAAACAATTCAAACAAAATATCAAAAATTCTTTGGTTTATGTGTAGAGAAGAAAAAGTCGGTTAAAGAATATAAAAAGAAATATTTTACGATACAAACAAACAGATACTTTGCTATAAATAGAGTTTAGTTTACATAAGAAATAAACTATCATTAAAGAAATATTCCATTGATATGTCGATGAGTTGAATAACTGTATAATGTTTTTATGTTCCGTTAGAATTTACTGAATGTCTTTTGTTAAATAAATGATGAAAGTTGCAATATTGTTGTGATTTATAAGTATTTCTTTTATAAATGGTTTCACTAAATGTAATTAATTGAAAGCTGTGTTCACTAATACCTATAAATTAAGAAAATCGATCATTGATTGAAATAAATCACCAAGCTAATTATTTACTCTACTTTATGCTTCATTCACATTATTTACAATCGAATGGTTATTACAATTTTACTATTGATTTCTATGAGTAATGTTATAATTAAAAGTGAATTTATAATTGAGAGAAAAATATGACCATTGAATGCAATGAGTGGACTAATTAATTGCTAACTTCTCTTTGGTTTCTATGCATTCAATTGGTATTGAATTTATTAAAATTTACATAAAGACAAATAAATGTATTGTTTATGCAATTATTAAACTTTCACTAAAAAAATTAAGATTTCACTGAAATTCTAGATATAAAGACGAAAAACAAATTTCTATGAATGAGTTTGCGGTATGAATTGTACTGACCAGTAGTGGCTCCGGGAAAGGGCGCCACTCCTGTCGGGAAATTGTGTGTTTCAGCCGTGAATATGATGTGTCGAGTCTTGTTTGGCTCCACTTTCACTAAAGAAGCTTCGGTTGAATTGACCGGAAGTAATATATTAAGCGAAGAAAATCCTTTAATAGCACTGGAATTGTCGTTAAATTTAATAACATTGTTATCGTTGCTGTGGTTCTGAGTGTCGGCCACTAATTCAATCAACGACTTATCAATTTGTTTTCCATTTAACAGTATATTTCCCTTTAATTCAATCAATCAATTCATTTAAAATGTTATTTCAAGAAAATGTTTTATAAATAGGGAAATACTTTGAAAAACCAATGTCTGGAGTGTTCACTGTTAGACTGCGCCAAATCAAAGCATTCAACTGATGTTGGGTTCCGTTTCAAAGTGTCTCTGAATAGTTTAGTATAGTATTGAATATCCCATTCATCAAAAGCTAAGCCCAGTTCATCACTGATCTGCCGAAGAGCCTCTTCTCCTCTCTTCATAACATCAATTTCAATCCAATCCTCGCGATTGATGGACAGCGCAAACGATTCAATGGGTTTAACATATCTCTGTTCAGTCATTCTGTCGTGTAATTGATTTACTATTTGTGTCTCAATTTCAGCGCTTATTTCTCCCTAATTTAGTTTAAAACAAACAAAATTGCAATTAAATTGAAGAAACATTTGGTTGTATTAGTGATAAATACAAAATCGCTTCTTGGCGAAGAAGAATGTAATGCATATTCATATGTAGTAATATATAATATAATTAGTGAAATCACCTGATAATTGATTTCATAGAGAATGCTTTTCTCGATTCTATTTATTTGTGGTGTCAGTCCCACAGCTGCACAAATGGAGACAGCATTTGTGGAAAAGGCTGTTTGAAAGTTAAGTCGGGGCCCGATCTCCATAAATAAGCACTTCTTTGCCGATGACTTATAGCTCCCAAAAGATGTTGACTTTTGAAGAGTGCTGTCGAAAGTTGGAGATAATATCCATTCGAGTTTCTTTTCCTCTTCGCTGTCAAGTTTGCCTATATTTTACATAAACTTTCACTCAATGGTAATATTTTTAAAACTATAACTTTCTTACCAGTCGTCCCGACATAATAGCAGATTTGTGTGTTAATTGATGTTAAATTGTTTGAAATATTCTTGAGTTTAGCCAAAGTATCACTAACTTTGGCATCACTTAGACCTGGGCTCTGGTAATACCTCAACACGTTTGCCATCTTTTCTAATAAGAGCCTTGAAATACAAGTCAGACTATTTGTGATGAATTCTCTCTTAAATGTGTAAAAACTTCAGTTATTTTATTGGTTTATAGTTTAGTTTTTATCATTAGCTTATGACAGTATATACCTTAGGATAATAGTTCAAGGCTTAGGTTCACAAACCAAAAACACACATTGAATGCTAAAAACACTTCAATAAAAACCGATGGCAACCAAAACCGATCGCTATGTTATTCCTCTTCAAAGAGAAGGGAAATCTCTTATAAAACGACTTTCAAAATCCAAATACTTTATACAACGTCTCGGTCTAAAACATCGATCAGTTAACAATTTGCAATCATATGATATGACATCAATCTGTGAATTCAAAACTCATTGGAAATTAATTTATCTTATATTCTCTGCTAACTGTCCAATAATATGTTGCATTCAATTCAATGCATTCAACACTCGTTTATCAAACTTTCAGTATCTTTTCGTATTTGTTTATTGATTACAAATATTTCTTAATTAACTACATGTTATCGATTTTAAACTCATATAAATTAAGTTTGTTTTCGATTTCCGACTTTGAAATGAATTTTGTTGAAAATCAGATTATTTTGAGCCATCATTCAATGGTAATGTATTTAATGATAAAATGTTAAATCATAAAATCCAATTAAGTTTAAATTTATGTTTTAATTTTATTTACAACAGAGTTTGTGTTTTACAACTTATGTTTAATTTAAGCAAATAATTATCAAATTCTTTACATTAAGTTAATATATGATATTATTTTGCACAACAATTCCTAAGTAAATAAAAAATAAAGCTTACAATAAAAATGACAAACTATTTTACAATTGCAATATACTGTATAAATAATTATCAAATTCTTTACATTAAGTTAATATATGATATTATTTTGCACAACAATTCCTAAGTAAATAAAAAATAAAGCTTACAATAAAAATGACAAACTATTTTACAATTGCAATATACTGTATATACATGTATACTTTATATATTCAAATATTTAATTTAGTTTTCTATTAAATATACATTTTTAATACAGAAATATTATATGAGATGTTATTATTAAAATCATTTGTAGAGTACATTCGGTCACTTAACATTGATATGTATTTTAAAGTCAGATAAACACTGTTTAGTTTGATATATAAAACAATAGTCTGTGTTTACAAATAAAAAAGTTATAACAATTTCAAATCTATGCAAAATATAAAAACCATGTTTTGTATATACATGTATACTTTATATATTCAAATATTTAATTTAGTTTTCTATTAAATATACATTTTTAATACAGAAATATTATATGAGATGTTATTATTAAAATCATTTGTAGAGTACATTCGGTCACCAGAATCTGGTTGTTATTAAATTCGGTGAATAGACATATAAAACTTTGGTGTCGTTGTATTGTATTTGCACAATTTCTTTCCATTTAATTATACAGAATGTATGCGTTAATAATTATACAGTATTATATTATAATCAATCTCTCAATGGTTTGCCATTTATAATTCAATTGATTTAATTACAAAGGGTTATATCTCTTAAAAATCGAAAAAGCTCATTCTATGATTATTACTATTGAATATAAATGAAACAATATTAAGACACTAAGACATGGTGAATCAATGATTAATGAGACATAACTCTCTGTAATAAATCAATTCAATTATAATTCAGCAGTTAATGTACTCACAATATATGAACTTAAAAATGAATATATAAGATGTGAACTTAAAACTTAAAAACTTGGTTAATATTTTCATGATGTTTTGGGTACAATTTTCGACTAAATTTTACAGCTTTATACAACTAGAAATAATACAAAAACGTTATTACAAAATGCATTTTAAGTGCTTTTAGAAGATTTCATTTCTTAATTGATGTTTCCTTACGTTTGCAAATAAATCCTTGTCTTTCATATCCCGGTTTACACTGACATTCATAACCTCCGCGAGTATTAACACAAATTGCATTCTCATTGCATTTGTTAACTTCTTTAGAGCACTCATCGATATCTGTTATTTGTGTCAAACAAAGTTAAAAATACTTTCACTGCATAATAGTATATTAGGCTTATATATCATTATTTGTCTCATTTATGTGTATTATACTATTCAAACATATGTTTATTCAATGCATTCAATATTTCATATTTATTAATTTTTTTGTTCATTTATCATATATTCCTACAAAAACACAAACCAAAAGACAAGAGAGAAATATTGTTGAATCGCAATGTCTTTTCGCAATCACAAAGTTTTCGTTTATGACATTATTATTATTAATGATTTATATAATTATTTATGTTTTAGAGTTTGGTGCATGGTGCTGAAGTTTGGTGCATTAAATGGGGTGCCTGTGTTTTGAGAACGGATTCAGGTGTAGAATGTGCATAAATCTAGAATATGTGTGTCTAGTCAAGTGACCACTTCTATCATCATAATCGTGGTTAAAATGGCCAAAAACTGCAATTTTTCACACAAAAAGGGTTCAGACAGTGGTCTCTAATTACCAGTATAACAAGTTGTTTAATAATGTCTTATATTAAACTAAATGCATGCAAATAGATGTTGTTATTCTTAATAGGGTAGGGGTGAGGGGGTGTGTAAAGTTAGTATTGGCATTCCCTTTGGCTCAAGCCCTCAAATCTAGTTATCCTTATTACTAATAATATCTATTTTACTGACATTAATGATAATATGGGCGTTAACTCACATTTCACTCATTATTATACAATTTTCATTAGTGTCTAAAACTTGAGTTATATTTGAATACTCTAAAGACCGTTAACTATATAATTAACTAATTAGTCAAATATATCACTCAAAATATAATGTAGTCTAAAATCCAATAAATTTATTTCAATTAAATATAAAATTATGTAAAATAAACACTAATAGAAGTAATGTATTAATAAGATTTACCAATGCATTCAAATTTATTGTTTCGTCGAAATCCTAGCAAACACTCGCACTTATAAGAGCCCAATGTGTTAATGCATTCTGTATTCTGTCCGCAATGATGGCCATCATTGCCTCCCTTTTGCTCGCATTCATTGATATCCAGACAAACCCTTCCATCGCCTTTGAAGCCCTTATTACAAGAGCACATATATTCTGTGTGCAGGTTATGACACGTTCCGTTTGGGTGGCAATCGTTGCCGTCACTGCAAAAGTCGGCTCCTAAACAGTCAAAACACTCCATTGAATATCATTTCATATTATAGTTTCAATCGATTATTTCCAACAAATACTCTCAAAATACTGATTTATACGGTATATAAAGCGAAATAATCAAACAAAATAATGTGCGTTAAATACCGGCGCAAAATTTGCAGCATTGATCTTCTCTCGTGAATTGCTCATCGATTGGACAGTCGAGTTGAGGACACATCGTCTCTGCGATAATCAATTTACAACTAGTCTTTCCGTCCTTTAAAATATTTAACAAATTAATTACTGAATATAATTAATCATTTAAGGGAGACATACATTACAAATACATTCACCACATTTGCCTCTATTGGGTGTTTTGGGACTAATTTTAATGCGTTGGCCGTGTTGTAGGACCTGACCGTTCAAATAACAAGTCTCTGTCAAAACAGTAATGCATTAAAACATTTTGTTGATGTATTGATCAATTGAAAGCATACTTTTGCAAACAGGACAGCATTCGCCCGAAATTGTTTCGGCATTTTTACATGGAATCGGACAATGAATTGGTCGACACTTCACTTCTCCGTGCTTTTCAGATATACAAAAGAGTGTCATTTGTTTGCATTTAGTATAATATATAAGAATATAAGAATGTGAGGACCAGACCATAAGTTAGGCATCAAATAAGTAGCGTAAATGCAAACATCAAATAATGAGTTTTTAAATCTACTAAAAACCCGGAACCCATAAAGTTTGTGCCCACTATAGGTCGGCCCTCCACTAAAAATCATAAGTAATAATACATACAACACAGGAACATATATCGCAGTCTTGTTTCCAACTCGATCCTTCTGCATGTATGGATCCGTTCACTGAACAACTCCTAAAACAATCGCATTTTTCAACATTTTGTAACCGTTTTTCTGTATCCAGAAGCTGTTGACAACATTTTCATTAGTTATTAGTCATACAAATAGTTTTAATATTTATTTATATATTGTGTGTATTTCATACTTTTTCATTCAGTTGTGTGATAATAGTTTCTAATCTTATAACAGAATCTTGTAGTGATTTGAATTGACCACAAGTCGGACATTCTTCTAGAAAAACAAATCAATACATATATCAAATAAAAGGTAACATAAAACTCAACAAATCTACAATCATATTATACATGAAGTATATATGGTTGTGATATACATAGCATTATTACCTGTCTCTAAGTGCGGACATTCAGCTGTAAAACCTTTTCAAAAAAAGAAGAAAAACTTTACATCAAATATATTTCAAGAAATCAGATAACAGACACGAAACGCATTCTTCTCATAAATTAACTTATTTTTATTGACTTTTACTAAACTTTTAAATGATTTTATTTCTACAACACAGGAACATATATCGCAGTCTTGTTTCCAACTCGATCCTTCTGCATGTATGGATCCGTTCACTGAACAACTCCTAAAACAATCGCATTTTTCAACATTTTGTAACCGTTTTTCTGTATCCAAAAGCTGTTGACAACATTTTCATTAGTTATTAGTCATACAAATAGTTTTAATATTTATTTATATATCGATATTGTGTGCATTTCATACTTTTTCATTCAGTTGTGTGATAATTGTTTCTAATCTTATAACAGAATCTTGTAGTGATTTGAATTGACCACAAGTCGGGCATTCTTCTAGAAAAACAAATCAATACATATATCAAATAAAAGATAACATAAAACTCAACAAATCTACAATCATATTATACATGGTATATATGGTTGTGCTATACATAACATGATTACCTGTCTCTAAGTGCGGACATTCAGCTGTAAAACCTTTTCAAAAAAAAGAAGAAAAACTTTACATCAAATATATTTCAAGAAATCAGATAACAGACACGAAACGCATTCTTCTCATAAATTAACTTATTTTTATTGACTTTTACTAAACTTTTAAATGATTTTATTTCAAATTTTCTTTCACAGTTTTACTGCTGTTATTGCTATTATAACGTTAGTAATGGTTTACATCCAATGGATTTTATAACTTTTTATTGTAAAAGATATATTTATATAGTGAATGTCAGCGACAGACACATCAAACACACCACACACTGCAGACACAGTCATCTAGAATTGCAAACATATATACATTTGTCACTCTCTCTAATAAAGTCTACTTTTGAACAGTAACCGTAATTTACAATCTATTCCACTCTACTATCGGTTCGGTTATTGAATTCAGTTTTAAGATTGTATAAAGAATTGATTCAAACCATTCAAAACTAGGGGAGAGAGAGAGAGAGAGAGAGAGAGAGAGAGAGACTTTGTTATCGTACAATACTAGAAACGAAGCAATACTTTAGAAAATGACTTATTTTTCGATTTATCTGAAAAGTGAAAAGAAGTTTACAATAAAAATATTTTCTATATTAAAAAGAGAAAACTCAAGAAATAAATAATAGGATGTGTGGGTCTGTTGGGGCTGTAGGGCTGGTGAGGCGCGTGGGCCGCACGCGTCCGACTGCTGTAGCAGTTGTGCTGAATTATAGTATGGAATTAGAGATCAATGAATTGTATTGTATGTATAGAAATAATAGCCTATCAGGTGGTGAGTGTATAACCCGTGGCGCTATTGTCACGCGTGCTGTCGATTGCAATTTCGCTTTCATTATTAGCTGGCTTTGCATACTTTACACAAGCAATACCTTAATATTATATTTAATATTAATGCAATACTTTTAATCTCTACACTGTATGCATACGACTCGTTACGGAGGGATTTAACTCAATTTTAAGCGCTAAAAAATAAATTGAAATAATATTAAGAAATCCCGGCTTAAAAATTTTCATAACATATAAAATAACATTATATTCAACAGAAAAGATTTAGAAAAAAAACTCTTGCTTTAGTCTTTTGCTGTAATATATAATCGAGAATAATATACAAAGTGTTGCCAATTCAACGAACAACTGCAGCAAAACACGACTGCAGTTGTGTTCACAGAATCTCTATAAACTTGGTATAATATAACTTATAATGTAATCAAATTATATAAACATATATTTGTAGTTTTGTTTCAAACAATGTTTGCAATCTCTTAAATATAAATTAATTACGAATAACTAAGAATATCTAGGAATATTTAGGAATATCTAAGAAATGATGAATATCTCTAAACATTATGGTTTTATTTAATATATTTATATCTAAATTTGGCTCCAAATGTATAGTAAATGATTACAGAATATGAGTGCAAGAGAGAGCACCGACAGCTAAGCCACCACTTCTGCACCTTAGCTACTGTTGTGTTTGGCTGTGCAGCTGCACAACACTCCAGGATATACCAAACCATACCATACCATAGTATGAACACCTGCTTATAGTGTAGACCGTATGGATGGCCGGCCGGACGGCTGCCTGTCTTTACGCTACAATGCGTTGACTTATTTTGTTAGTTGAGTAGACATTTGTTGTACACATTATGGTCACCACTAAAGCATTCTTACGCACAGACATAACTACACTACAGTACAGCCCACCAATACTACTACCAATACTACTGTATTCAAAGTGTATTTAAACTAATTATAACATTTTAAATTCATTTTCATTTCTCAAATCTGTTCGTTTAGAGGACTGAAACCTATTCGTGTCGGATATGGAAAATGCATTAATATATCTATAGATATAAGTCTAATATATATAGAGCTATATAAATATTCTGTACCTATGGATAGCATTATATCCGAGATATAACTTATTTCGGATGTAATTATTTCATACATTTATTTTCTCGTCGATAGACAATAGAATTGAATGGAAATTATTTATCAATACTTTGGAAGTAATGTAAACTTCCATAAAGGATAGACAGACACATAACTGTTAATATATTTTGGTTTAAATTTACGTTATGGTCAGTAAAGCATATAACAAGCAATCATTAATGATATGGAATATAACATACAATATATGTATTTATATGAAGTATAAATGTATATAATATTATACAGCAATATAATAGAGCGCATCATTTGGAGAGCACAACCTCTTCAATGATAGAGCAATGCCTGCCATATGTTTGTATTTTCTGCAAATTATTTGAGTATCGCGTATAATATTTTACGCTTAATTTGTTATTTGTTAACAAACTCTTATATATCTTCTAACGGAACCGTATATACAGACTATACGACTGCCACTTATTAGCCATCCTATGCTCCACTCGACCCCATCACTAATCTCTTGGGCATCTGTCAAGACTTCACTGTCATTATTGCCTCTAATTATATCAATACTTAATACCATTTTGTATTTCAATATCATATCAATACAGCAATTGTTTTCAAACACATCACTCAAAAATAATTTACCATAAGATTACATGATATACGCAATAATACACTATTTATTCACTACTTATTCACTTCTTAAACACTTTTCCAAATGATGTAATAAATTATGTTTTTATCAAAAGCTATGGATTACTACATAAACTTAAAGTCAATTTATTTTAGATTATATAAAACAACTATTGGTAAAGACTTATATCGTATGAATCTATTAACGAAAAATATATAAAATTTAATATTAAACGCATAGTTAGGAATCGATGGCACCGTTAGAACCCAAGCACTGGTTATATATTGTACTGAATATTGAAAAATAAATCAGAGACTGACTATAAGTTATAGCACACACACAGACATCAGGTTTTAATTTCAATTCATGATTGAGTGAATGAACTTATTTTTACTTAAATTTGTTATTAGTCTTTGAAAATAATTCATTTTCAACGTTAAAGCTCTTTCAAAACTAAATTTTAAGTTATATAAGTATTAGTGAACTCATAGAGAGCACAGGGATGGTAGGGTTGGGAGAGGTGTCAATGTATAACATATACAGTTTAATTTTGAAAGATTTACACTCATCTTAATGCAAATTAATTGACAACAATTTAAGATCAAAATATAATTTCAAGAGATTTGATTGACTCGAAGACCATTTAAGACCATTTTAATAGTAAAGACTTTCAATATATAAAGTAAAGTAAATCTTAATAAATATAGCTTTAGGAAAGAGATGGCAAAGAATTGCAATACAATGTACTTAAGGCTGAGTACAGTATAGAGTAGTTATGGGATGACATACCGACTGGAAGCAGTAGAATCGAGACGAGAAGATTCAAAACCATAAAGTTTGGCACCAAAACTGGACCCTTGAGGCCAATGTTGCCAATCAAGGAGTTATTTAAATTTATACAATAAAAAGGTATTGGATTCAGCTTTTGAGCCAACTTTTGCACATTAAGTCTAATATCCATTATTTAATATTATAAGATGTCGATAATTCTTCACACATTTTTGGGTCACTGGATATAAAACAAAAACTCAATTGATTGGCGATTCTTGGATAAAAACGTGGTATTCAACTAAAACACGAGACACTTCTCACAACCAATCGCTTTGAATGCAAAATAAAGTCCAAAAATGCAATTTATATTTCAATTCAGAGTATAAGTGAATCATTGCTTACGATTCATAAGCAACTGTGAGATCAAACTTTTTTGAACTCAAAACCCATTCATTCAATAATGGACTGCACGTAATGTATGCGACAATTGTTGGTAATTGTAATGAAATAAATAAATAAGTGAATAAATCGATTCAATTACTACTAAAACACAAGAATCCATATCTGAAAAGTACTAATAGAGCGATAGTTTTGGTTGGAGTTGTTCTCCAAACCGTTCAATACTGTGTTCGCCGTATGAATGAAGCTTACGGTTAGAGAACACACTCACTGTAACACTGCCTGCACTGACAGCACACACACCACCAGTCACTGCACATCACATCCACAACCACTCTCTCCCAGTCTCTCTCCGTCTGAGCCCTAATTTGTATGAACGTAACGCACGACATGTATTTGAAAGCTACGTAAGCTTTGCCATAGTATGGGAGTCGCGGGTGCGGTGACACACCAGACACACCATTCCCTAAATTGTCACTTCGGTTGTCCGGGAGATAGGTTTGAACCGTACGAACAACACAACTATCAGTAGTGATAAGACAAACCAAAAGGTGTGTGTTTTTATTGTATGTTTTATCTCAAAGAAGCCGACAAATAGCTCACTAGTCAGTGCCCACACATCCAATGCCCAACGCATAACTGTCTATCGGCTTATCATTTAAATGATACACAATTTGTATCATATTATCCGCAATCCTTTCCTAATTGTAAACAACAATCAAGTATTAGCGCTAAATATTCACTCAATCCTATTATTTCACACCAAATGCCGTTTGAATCAAACTTTGAATTGAATGAAAGCAGCGTTTGATCTCATTATTCAAAAAGAGTTTTGCATTTTATTAGCATTCAATCGATTCTCATCAACAAAAAGAAATGCTGACACAAATCTTTCAACACAAATACAATTCATGAATATTTTCCATCATTTAATGGTTAAACGCCGACAATATTACCAATTCATGCAAAATGAAAGATTATATTGAAAAATATTCAATCAATGAATTTTTTTCGCATTGCTTTATACAGTACTCTATGCACTGTTCACAGGAATAGGAATTACTCCAACAATTCCTGTGCAGCTTATTATGCAATTCTCTTCACAGCAGCGCCTGTCGAGCCCTCTATTTGAGGCATTATTACTTGAGTACACATTAAACTACAATACACTTACAAATTAGTGTAAATTTCAATTTTTTATTCGGAATTAAACTAATAAACAAGAAAAAGAGACGCGAAATGAATCAAACAATTGATTAATGAAATTAAATCAATAGAAAAATAACATTTAAATCGATATTTACTTTGAAGTAAAGGGAGGAGTAATTAAAAACAACTAAGATATCGTATAATAAGTCTTTAGTCTTATATTCATAAACATTATAAATAAATGACAATTTAATTATAAAGTGTGTCCATTAATGTGTAGCACATTGAACGCCGGGGCCGTGTGAGTGCTGCTCGAAGCCGTCCTCGTCGTAGGCCTCGAGACCACCTCCTCTGCCGTGACCTCTGGATTGATGGGCCCTTTCGTTCTCGATGTCCATATCGGTGAGCATAACCTCTTCGATGGGCTGATCATCCATTGGTAGGTCAATGCGAGGTCGCGGCGGAAGTATATTCTCCAACTGAGTGACAGACGCGGGTTCGATGTTTTCGGGAAACTTCACCAAAAACTGAATAATCAGTTTTCCCTTTTCGAAGGGACTCTTATATCGAGGCATTCCTTCGCCGATCACACACTTCACGGATCCGTGTTTTACAACTTCGCCCGGAAGTGATGTCAATACTAGTGTCCGATTGTCCAGTGTTTTCACTCCTTTCTGGAATCCACACAACGCTTCGGTTAGAGTTAAGTCCAGATTAATGAGCAGATCATCGGTTTTGACTCTCTTGAAGACCGTGTGTTCCTTCTCGTCCAACACCACAATGATATCGCCCGCCATCTCGAGTCCCGGTTCCATATCTCCCTCTCCCGAGAAGGCGATCCTCTGGCCGTCTTCCATACCCTTATCGATGTGCACTTCCAGTATCTTCTTGTCCTTCGAGACCTTCTTTCCATCGCATTGTTTGCAGCGATCTTTGGGCGCAATTCGTTCCCCTTTTCCGCCGCATTCGCCGCAAACCGTTTGGATTTGTTGGACAATAGACGGCCCCAAATGCTCGACCCGTATCTGCATTCCACTGCCTCTACACACGTGACACCTCTCGGGTCCGACCGCCGGGTTCTTCGTTCCCTTTCCCTCGCATTTATCACAAATCACTTTCTTCTGAATCGATAGCTTACGAGTGGTTCCGTTGTAGAGCTCCTCCAGAGTGACCGACATCTGGTA